CAGGATAGCTTGTGGTGCGGAAGGTTAAGAGATCTGAAGTACATTTCATTCAGGTCAAATTCTGCAGACCAAGTTTGGGGTGGGGTATTATAAAAAAATTGCCTCTGTGTTAGCAACCTGGATGGAGGCTTTCACGAAAGGTTCCATTGTTGGGCACAGCTCTCCACTGCATCACCAAACAACCCAACCTGGGAAATTGGCCTGGAAAGGCATGGCCTTGGCACAATCCTTCACCGCTCCTCCCTCAAGGGTAGCAAGGGAGGAAGAAACCACTCGCATCTGCCATCTACCAGCTAGTAACTTAAATTCCCAGACTGATCTCTTGAAGTAGTGTGTGTATGACTCGCCAATTTGTATTTCCATTTTTGGCGTGCTATCAACACGCATAATCGCTTTTCAGCGTGTTTATGAACGCCGTTGAATTAACGTTATTACTGTATATATAAATATATGACTTACCTAAACCCCGTTCCCTAAACCTACCCATCACTGGGGTTAATGGCATTTATGAGTGTTCCCTTACCATCCTAGGAAGGAAAACATAGCTCCCCAGATGTAGATCTACATTTTGCTTCTGCTTCCTTTCGCTCGGACATTTGACAGCATGTACAGACATGCAGAATGACGCGGACGTTAATGGCGTAGACATACACGCAGATACACGCGGATAGCTCAAAATGACACGCCACTTGACTCGAAAAGTGGCGTTATGTTTACTGCAAATGTCATGTTGCAATTTCCATACACTTTGGGAAAGAAGGGCATTTGGCGGTGGGCTGAGAACCAGCACGGCCCGCCCCGAGATACAATCATCCAACATAAACAGACATTGGGTGTTGTGAGAACACCAGTTTGAAGCTGAAAAAAGCTTGCGATCAATGTTGCCCTTGCACTGTAAGCACCAACACCCAGGAGAAAACTTCCAGAAGAAACACAGCTACACTAGCTTGTTGTAATAACAACACTCTCAGAAACCTGAACATGAAGCTCGGCTGAAGCGAAAGGCAACTGGTGCGTGCATCGAATTCTGCATTTAGACCCGAGCTGCGGTGCGG